AAACACCACCATGGTAACAGAAGCCCCTTCTCACTTAGACAAAAGATCGAACACTTGAACTGCAATAACATAACAGAAACAAAGCAACAAAATTAAGCAAACTATCTCGTAGAGAGGAACCAGAAATTAAGAATTCAACACTCCCAACGAAGATGAAAAGATTACAGGTGATAGCTTCATCTTTCCCCCATTCATTGATTCATCCATCCATCTAGGAAGAACGTGGCAGATCTAGTGTACAAGCAACATGAGCAACAAATTTGCAGTCTTCACAAACATAAGACCAATGCTCTGGGTTCCTCTCCTTCCTACAAATATCACAAAAGTATTCTTCCCTAACATAATCCCCTTGAAATTGACTAGCGATGACGAGGTTGTGTCGGTGGGCCCTGTGCTTGAAAGATTCTGGTAAAAAGCAGCAACTCACATGAAGATTAAAGTTGCAATCGAAACATATGTAGCTGATACACTGGCCAATTTCACTGCAACCACAGCATCCATACTCGTAACGATATGAGATTGGCATGATGATGAGATTCAAAGGGTGTGCATGCATCTTATGATGGAGAATGATGGGCAGGTATTTGCCTTTAATGTTGGTTTCGAGCAAGCAATCGTGACAATTTTCAAGGTTGCTAACCTCACATTTCTCGCATTTCTGCTTCTCGGGAAATAGATTATAATCAGGCTGGTCCCTTCCACTAAGATTAGGAAGCTTCTTTCTCCGAAGATACTCTAAATCGTTTGTTTTCCGAAGATACTCGGAGTCCTTTGCAGACTCAGCGCAGTTTTTATGGAAGCTGTACTCACCACATTCAACACATTGATAGCTAGGCCCTGATGAGATGCTAGGGTCTGGTAAGGTGCTAGGCTCTGGTAAGGTGCTAGGCCCTGGTGAGGTGCTAGGCTCTGACAAGGTCCTAGTTCTGCAGCTTTTGCAAACGAGTTTCTGTTCCTTCTTGGTATCCCTGAAGAAGAGAAACTCGTGCAGGTGCCTCTCTTTTTCAGCTGGAAGAATTGCAGAAACAAGTTCCTCCAGGAAGAAGAGATTCATGGGATCAACAGTGATTTTTCGAACACCACCAACATTTAACTCTTCCAACTGCGGTTGATTCTCTTCGCTTTGTGGGGACCTGCATTGAATCAAGATCATGCTGCTGTGATCGAACAGATCCAACAATTGTTTTGATGGGTTTGCACTGCTATGACCTTCGGAAGCTTATGCTCTTCTTTCTTCTGCTCTTCCATCCCTATTGGACGTTTCACCCCAAACCCAAGGACCCAAAATTATAGACTCAGATGGTGAAGGACATTAGTTTGTTCCTTTCAATAGATTTATTTATGGAGAAATGGAAAAGCAGGTTGAATTGAAAAAATGAAAATTGCAGGACGACTTTAATGAAACGCTGAGTTGCCATAACAATTTACAAAAGAAGGCCATTAGGGATCGAACTAGGCCTTTAGCCAATGGTTCGATCTCAAACTTTAAGTGCTTGGTTGAGATAGTGATCAGAGTTTTGAGTTTTACCACTGTCGTGAACTTCACCAAAAAGCGGTCTGATGATCGCGCGCCTCATTTGAAGGGGTGGAATGTTCATCCGATCTAAGATTGAATCCTCAGTTTCTAACAACTAATTCATACTAACTTCCTAACTATTACCTTTGTCAAAAAAGAAAAAAAAAAAGAAGGCCGTTAGAGGGGAGGGTTGTTGGAAATTTTTTTTATTTTTATTTTTTTTACTTTAAAGTAAAATAAGTGATACATCTTATATATATATAAGTTTATCGCACCAATATCACTTGAAAATGTTTTAGGAAACACCTATTTTTTCCTTTTTTTAACATGGGAATTATAAGATTGAGAAAATTTTAAATCGATAATGAACATTTAATTTCTAATTAATTTAACTTAAACACTAAGATTTTGAAACAAATCATTAGGGTTGAAAGCTTGGTTGATTTTAGAAAACACTCGTAAACTATCAAATGCTATAAAGAATTATAGAGCTGGAATGCAGGCTCGGATAACCTAATAAATATATGTAGCGATCATAGATTACCAAAAAGGAAAAAAATTCAGAAATAAGAGAATATTAGCTAAATCAAGAAGATTATATAGTGAATTAACTCAGGTCTATAAGAAATCATAAAAACCAATTTGTTTTTAAACAAGCTGTGCTTTGACACAATTAGAAATCTTAACTAGATCCTAAAGAAGATGGAAGACATGGAAACAGAACTCTAAAATTCAAAAGTATCAAATTAAGCAATTGGTAACAAACTAAAGAATCGGGATTAAAATGTAAAGTCTTCAAAAAGAATGAAGGAATTCAAAGTAAGGAGCGTGTCACGTAAAGAGTATGTATTATTTTATTATTATTATTATTTTTTGTACAATTGTCATGCTGTAAGATTGAACCATTGCCCGAAAGAGTATGCATTAATTATTATCGTGTTATATAAAGTACTATATAAGATAGTAACAAATTTAAATGAAATAAAAAATTT